GGAGCAGAGAGGCTGATGTTTCGGGCCTAGACCCTTCATCAGAAACCGAAACGTCAGCCTCTCTGCTCCTATGATGCTGCTTGGCCTGCTGTGTTCATCCAGCCCTGCACCTTGTCCTCTAGGAATCTTGTCTGTTTCAATAAGGCTGTTTCTCATTCTTCTATATTCCAATGATCCAATTTACTCAATCTCTCATGAGATAGTACCTCTTGACTGGTTTTAGCCACTGAACCTTCTTTGGATTACCTTCAATGTCAGTTTATGTTTACTTAGATAAAGAGCCCAAAACTTGTTCATAGTGTTCATGTGAAGAAAAAAATCAGAGTTAATGTTTCTGGTTCAGAACTGTTCTGAGGAAGGGTTACCGGACTCGAAACGTTAACTGATTTTTTTCTTCACAGATGCTGCCAGATCTGCTCAGCTTTTCCAGCAACTTTGTTTTTGCTCCTGATTTACAGTATCCGCAGTTCTTTCGGTTTTTGTTCACGGTGGGTCAGCTTTAAACATTTGTTGCCTTCATCACCTGCTGACAGGAGTAGGTGGCATTGCCTGGGAAGAGGTTTCTGTGAAGCACTAATCCGTAAAGCATTGGCACAGATTTTGTAGTGTGTCATGTTAGAACTCATTCCTCATCCTTCATCTGGAAAAAAGTTTGGCGATAGTATGAGCTGCTTAACAAAGGCACCGTACTGAACAGCAATTGAATTGGTGATATGTTGTGGGTCTGTCCTGTGTACAAGTTGGTTGAGATGTTTGCCTAAGGATCAGCAACCAGACTTATTTGTTTATTTAGCAGTAGAGCACTTTGGGATGTGAGAGCCATCAGTTCAGAATCAGATTTCTTTTTAAACATGTTTATTATTGAACATTTTGATAACGGTAGCACAAAAGTGATAAGGCCAATATTCCTATGTAGAGTAACACCTTACTGTTTTCTTTTCAGCTATTCTTCACTGGGCTAGAAATTGCTAGACTGATACCTTAAAAATGCAGAGGTACTTCCTTCAGGCAGTCTTCTTGCACTCAAAGCAAGCTTGCAATGTCCGACCATGTGCCACATTTGTACTTTCAACCACAGGTGGGAAAATGCCTTTCTTTATCCAACATCAGGGGCAACTCCTTCACACATCACGTCCAGTCATCGTCTCTGAACAGAGGCGGCCAAATCTGCAAGAAGATCCACTATCCACACACCACAAGGGCCTTGATCATACCAAAATACAAGAGTCCAAAACTTTTCCAGAGAATGACCCACACCAAGATACCTTGACGGACTCAGTTCAGAAAACATACTTTTCCGACACAAAACTGAATCAAGAGCCAGCAAGTGTGGAAACTGATCCCCTCCAGGACCCTACAATAGGTCTTTTTCAACGATTCAAGAAGACGTTCAAACAGTATGGGAAAGTCATGATTCCAGTACATCTGGTGACGTCCAGTATATGGTTTGGTGCATTTTATTATGCAGCAATGAAGTAAGTTGCAAGTTACATTGCTTAATGTGCTTTAAGCTTTCAAAATCCTCATATTATTTCTGATTCTTCTGTGAATTGTTTTTAAATCTGTTTCTACTGGCTACTGACCTTTCTGCCACTGAAAAATTTTGCCTTAATTACTCTTCTCAAAGCCATTTGTGATTTTGAAACTATATTTTTGAAGGTGAGAGGAGAAAGATTAGGGAGGACATGGGGGTAACTTTTTTAACAGTGTGCAGTTTGTGTATGGAGTGGGCTGCAAGAGAAGGCGGTGGATGCAGGTACAGTTACAACATTTAAAAGACATTTGGATAAATTCATTAATAAGAAAGGTTTGGAGGGATATGGGCCAAGCACAGGAGGTGGGACTAGTTTAGTTTGGGAACATGGTCAGCATGGACTGGTTGGACCAAATGGTCTGTTTCCATGCAGTATGACTCTGACTCTACAGCCTTCTGATCCATTCTAGTAGGCCTCTTCTACAGTCTCTAGAAAACCCTTGACATCCTTCCAAACGTGTGTTTCTCGGAATTGGATGCATTACTGCTATTGAGTGTCTGTTGTGACTCAGTTAGTAAATCTCTTATCCCTGGGCCTCAGGGTTCCTAGTTTCAGGACTTGAGCACAAAAATCAAGGTTGACACTTCAGCCCAATACTGAGGGAGCACTGTACTGTCAGAAGTGCCATACTTGTATGGATCCAATTAAAGCTGTCCGCATCTGCCTGTTTGTTTGGATATAAAAGCTACCCCCTGCCATGGCACTCTCTCAAAAAAGAGCAGGGGAGTTCTCCCTGGTCTCCTGGCCAGTACTAATCACTCAATGAGGATCACAAAAGATCAGAATATCTGGCCATGGTCATATTCCTGTCTGTGGGAAACTAGCTGCCACATTTCCTTCATTACAAGTGATTCCAGTTCAAAAAAAATTTCATGGGCTAGAAAGTACTTTGAGGCATCAATGGTTAAAAGCGCTGTATAAATGCAAGTTGTTTTTTTAACTGAGGTCTGATGAGTATTTGTAAAGTTTCAGAACAAGTTTTGTACTGCTGTGTCTTTGTTCAAAAAACCAAGGATCTTAATTACTTGATAGCCATCTTAACTTGTTCTGTCACTTTTAAACATTTGCGTGCATGTACATGAATGCCATTCTATTCCTGCACCACCTTTAAAATTGCACTACTGAATTTACATTACATGTTACACAGTCTTAGAATGAAGGTAAAGCCATTTAACATTGAAATGAGGAATTCCTTCAATGAGTGAGTCTTGGGGATAGTGCTGGAAAATGGGGCTGAGGTAGATCAGCCATGATCTAGTTGAATGGCCGAGTAGCTTTGAGGGGCCAAAATAACACACTCCAACTTCATTTTCATACGTTCGGTTGAAAAGATTTTTCTGTTCTGTAAATCCTGATCTTCATTGCTCAAAGTGAGGTATGTGCTCGGGCGGAGTTATGCCATCCTTGTATTTGTGTGTGTAAGGGAAACTGAACTGAGATCACCTGTCTTGTACTGTCAGTTGCTGTGCTCCTCACTGCTCCTGTCACCGTCTGTCTCCCTAGACCCGTTTTTGTGCTCTTGCCTAGATCCTCTTTTTATATTTAAGAACCAGAGTAACAAGAGGCAATGGCAAGCTGGGTGTGTACAGTTCCTCTGAGCTTCTAGCATGTCCACAAGTGGGAAATTTATCATGCGGAGAAATCTGTAAGCTGACTGGTGAAAAGTAGTTTGAACTTGCTGCCCATGGATCAAACTGGCCTGCTTGTATGACATTGGCAGTTTCTGTTGTGGGGAACAAAGCCAAATACCCATTTCGTATAAAAGGAAACAAGTTGTAAACTTTATCCCCAGAGATCTTCATCAGCCTAGAGAAACCAACTACCTCCAGTTAGTCAATTCAGTTTTATAATGGGCTAAAAAAAAGCTGTTTTATTTTAAAACTGACTGTTTGATATATTTAGAGGTGACTTGTATAAAACTAAACAAAGAAAGAACACCTCTAATGACAATTGTCTATCCATTAGCAGTTTTTGACAGGAAGTTTAGTTTGTGAATACATTTAAAGAGCACTTATTCAAAATAAAAGCTGCAAATTTCATAGTAACT